TTGGTGGAGCGGGGGCCCTCCCCGGCACAGTGAGCTAGGAAAAGCAGGACACCATGAGGTCCAGTGAATTCTAACTACATGGAAATATGGGCTGAGAATTTCTTATTACTGACTTTTGTATGATAATTCAAAAAGCAATACCAAACCCAACTTAAAGAAGGCTAAAGGTGTTTCCAGAACCTTCTTGATGCTTCCTAGAGTCAACCCCTAACACAAACCTTATGGCGTCATACCCCTCCCCAGCTCACTGAAGCAAATGGAGGAATCCATGGCTGCTTCAGAAAACAGATGATCACCAAGGAAACATTGAGAGCTCTCGGGTTGTACCTGGTCTCATGGAATTCCCTCGTGGAATTCCAGCCCCCGCGGTCCCATGGGATGTGAGCTGAAGCAATATAGGCTTCCCTGATCCTTTTGTCAAGGTGAGCAGCCTCCTACCGCAGAGGCGCCCTCGTAGGCGGGTACAGTGCTGCACATGCTTCTGTCCATGTTCCGTTTCCAGCTGCTTGGGAGCTAGCTAACATTCCTTGGATCTTATTTTTGTGGCTCCCACAGTGCATAGGGACACATAAGCGAATCAAGTCCCAGCATCAGCCTGAGAACCTGAAGGTAAATGTGTGACCCAGGGTTTTGCCACCTCGGCACTGCTGGCATTTTGGGCCAGATAATTTTTCACTGCGGGAGACTGCCCTGCACCCAGTGGGATGCTTAGCGTCTGGGCCTCGATCCTCTAGATACTCCTTTTGCCAAATACCCACTGGGTGCAAAATTGTGCCAGGTTGAGAACCACTGGTGTAAATTTAACTAAGGTAACTGCTATCCTACTCTCAGATCAGAAAAAGATTAAGCTACTGCCCCCAGCATGGGGCTGGTATGCTGCAGCCAGTTTCTGCTGTCTCAGAGGTGTACTTTATTAGAAAGTGCACTCCTGCATCTTAATCAGGGGATGTCTGCTAAGTGTGTATCTAGACCCAGCACCATACCGGGCACTGTGGAGGAGCCAGAAGCAACCTCAGATGTGGTCCCTGTTTCTCCGAAGCTCACAGTCATTCTAGGGGACAGAGTGGTAACACCTGAAGCAAAAGCAGTGCTACAGAGCAATGGGTAAAGCTGTGTCACTCATCCAGTGATGACCTACACTGAGGAACCACATGGCAGGCAGGGGAGGGACACAGAGGTGAAGCCCAGTCCAGCCGAAGAGAGACAGGCAAAGCAGAGAGTGCAGGTGTCAGGAGACAGCAGATGACGCGCTGCAGGCATTCAGAGGGTGGGGAGTGGCAGTTGCTCCCGCCCAAGGAAGGCCTGGTGGAGCCATGACTGAGCCGAGCCAGGTGTGGAAGGAGAGGTAGGCGCCAGCATTCGGCAGGGGGACAGGCAGGGCAAAGGCCCGAAGGCTGGACACTTGGCCTGTGTGCAGCAACACCAGGAACACTTTTCAGCTTTGCACACAGAGCCAGTGTGTGCCGCAGGGGCCCTGAGATGATCCCGCTGGACCCGGGGAGTTAGGAAAGGCTGGGTAAGGTGCAGGGTGGAGGGGCAGAGGTGACGGCTCTGTCAGAGCCCATGACCTCACCCGGCTGAAGCCCTAGCTGATGAGGGACCCTTTGCCTGCTCCTGGGCCTGGTGGACCACACACCTGGTGGGTCACACCTGCAGCCTCCCTGCTGTGGAAGCTGCTGCCTGGAGCCAGTGCCTGTGCCCACCAGCACCCGGCCTCAGTCCCCTCGAAGCCCCAGGCCAGGCCTTCACTCCCCTCCCAGGCATCTTTGCACACTGGAGCTTGAGAAGGCTATCCCCACACACCACTGCCCCTGCCAAGCGCTCTCCCCACCTCCTGGAGGGGGCCACTCCAGCAGGTCAGATAGCCTGTGTGATGCCTCTGAACCAGCCTGTGCAGATAGGATGCACAGGGGTAGGATGTACTAATTTAGCCAGCCACTAAACCAAGGGGTGAGGTTCGGTATCTCTACCTCCCCATCCTCCCTGTTCGCCACCCTGTCTTCAATAGGAACCGGGGCAGTGGCTTCTCCTGAGAAGCGGCGTGACAGCTATCCAGGAGTATCCTGTGGACGTGACTCACGGCCCACAGGGGCGATGGGGAGAAGGAAGGTGGAGAGATGCCAGCATGCGGCTCTCCTAGCTGCCAGCAGCCTGGGTGCTCCTGTCAGTTAGGGACACTCCATCACCTCTTCTTCCCATGTCCCGGAGGTTTCTGGGAGCGACTGGCATCAGTGCCTTCAGGTCCTGTGCAGCGGGAGGGAGCCAGCCTCAGCACCATAGCTGGGGATGGTGGAGGGAAGTTTGGAGCAGGCAGGAAGGGCACGCATGTCAGAGAGGAGCCGCAGGGCCCCGCAGCGTATGGCAGGGGAGAGCCCCTGAGTCGAGGAGGCTCAGAAACAAGGATGCCTCACCCTGGGTAGGGTGAGGGTGAATGTGTAGCCATGCTCTGTCTGATGGACTGGGCGGCTCCCTGGGGGACCACACTCTGGCATGGGCTGGCTGCGTCTCCCACTGGCTGACAAGGACCGCACCCCTCATGCTGTGGGACCTGGAGCTCTGGGAGGGCAGGAGGCAGGTCAGATCACTGGAAAGTACATTTCCCCTCTCACTGGGTCCTTGTTGACCCTAAAGTTTGCGTCCTACACGAGGGGACCAAAGAAGGCTGAAATCCGGCCCATGCAACTCTTCCTGAGCCACGTTTTTCTAATTTGCACCAAAGTACTAGCAGCCATCCAGCTAAAGCCAGCATGTGGTGGAGCCTGAACCCAACCCAAGTTCACTGACTTTCCCCCAGCCTTCCTCAGTGTTTGGGCCCTGCTTCTCAGAGGCTTGTCAAGCAGGAGGACCATCCACAGACCCTCTCTTCAGCCTCCTGCCGCAGCTTACCCTGCATCCCACTCGGTACATGTAGACCCAGGCTTGGGCCTGAGGCCCTCTTCATCCACACTCGTCCCCAGGGAGTGGAAAGTCCGTAGGGTGGAGGGAATGTGTCCTTGTGGAATCTGCAACTCCCTCCCACCACTTCCTGACCTCCTCCTAGGGACCCAGGAGTGTGAATCCTCTGTCCAGACAACCTGCACGCAGCATCTGCAAGCATGTCCTGAGGCTGACTAGCATGTGTGCCTCTAGCCTGCACCACACTCAGCCCTCTCCACACCCCCTGCCAAGGGGCATCTGACCCTGGGGGAGGGGCAGGCAGAGCTGGAGGTTGTTCCTGGTGCAGCGAAGAGCCTGGGGCAGGAAAGGAAGGGGCAGGGACCTTGCATTTGTGCTCTTGGCCTCAGGCCCCACAAATGATGGGGCTAGGCCTGACACTGTTACTCTGAAACTGTAAACTCTCCCTGTATCCCTGATACTGGGAGACTATAGGACACAGTAAAATTGCAATGAGGAGGTGGGTAACACACTTCATGTGAAAGGAAGCCCTGCTCTTGGACCACAGTTCTTTCCCTGTGAAAAGAAATGGCCCCTCTCCTACATTCCTTAATCCCTGCCCATGCCAGGCTCCCTGCTGAGTGGTGCAGGAGATGGTTGGGCGAGTCCCATGGGCCCATGGATTAGCATTGCCTCTGAAATGCCCTGTCTGTCCTGGGCATCCCCCACCACCACCCACCACCATATACCTCCTGCTCACACTCCTTTCCCTGCTGGGTGAAGCCTAGAGTTTCAGTCTCACCCACAGGCTGGGCCTTCCCTAGAATCCAGCCATCCCAGTGACCATGGGCAGCTGCCCTGCTGTGGCCAGGTGGGCGGGGAGTGCCTGGGGGCAGCCCGGGTGGGAGGTGCTCTTGAGTCGGGCTGAGCTTCCCCACAGTGGGGCTGGTTTTGATCAATAGTGTTCCCCCTCTCTTCCCCTCTCTCCCCCTCTCTCCCCCTCTCTCCCCCTCTCTCCCCCTCTCTCCTCCTCTCCCCCCCTCTCCCCCTCTCCCCCCCTCTCCCCCTCTCTCCCCCGCTCTCCCCCTCTCTCCCCTCTCCCCCCCCTTTCTCCCCCTCTCTCCCCCTCTCCTCCTTTCTCCCTCCCTCCCTCTCCCTCGCTCTCCCCCCTCTCCCCCTCTCTCCTCTCTCCTCCCCCCTTCTCCCCCTCTCTCCCCCTCTCTCCCCCTTTCTCCCTCCCTCCCTCTCCCTCGCTCTCCCCCCCTCTCCCCCTCTCCTCTCTACCCCCTCTCCCCCGCTCTCCCCCCCTCCCCCCATCCCCCTCTCTCCCCCCCTCCTCCCCATCCCCCTCTCTCCCTCTCTCTTCCCCTCTCTCCCCCTCTCTCCCTCTCTCTTCTCCTCTCTTCTCTTCCCTTGTCCCTGCCTGGGAGCTCCATGGCTGCCTGTAGCCAGCTTCATCCCCCTCTCCCCGCTCCTCCAGGGTTGGGAGAGAGGGAGGCCCAACATGCCTTCTAGGCCTGTTGGCTCCTGCAAGCAGAATTGGTTGAGCAGGGTCTCAGGAGCTCCCCCTGACTGTGCAAGCCAGGTGGGAGTGAGAAGGAAGCAGCACCCATGTCCTTCTACAGGTCACACTGAGTGCAGGGCCGGGAAGCCAGCAGCAGCAGCAGGCCTGGGAGGTGGGAAGAGCAGTGGTGAGGGGAATGAGAACCCTGCAGGGCCATGAAGAACAGGAAATGGGCATCACGGCTGAAAGACAGCACAGGAATCGCCTTCCCCTGGATCTCTGATTTGGTTTTTCCTGAGCCTTGGTTGTTGCAGTCCACCCTGGTCCCTGCACTGCAACTACAAGGGTACTGTCCACTCCCTGAACACAAATGCCCCATGGCTTCTCACTTGTTCTCCCCTCTTTCTGGAATGTGCTTCCCTCCTTCACTTAGCAAATGCCTATTCAGTCCTTAAAGATGTTACTTAGGTGTCACCACCTCCAGGAAGCCTTCTCTGACTGCCCACCCTACCAGGAGCCTCCCACCATCTCTAGAGCTTACCCCATAGTGACATTTATAACACAGCATTGCAGTCACTCATCTGTCTTCCCACCATCAATAACTTTGAGAGCAATAGTTGTCTTACGCTACCTGGCATCTGGCATATAGCAGGTATTTAATACATATTGGATCGGTAGATGCATTACTGAATTGTCAGCAGACCAAGGAGGGAAGGAGTAAGTGGGGAACTTGGTACTGGCAGCCAGTGAGACTGGTACATCCAGGAGGAAGATGGTCTGGATGATAGGGTTCCCAGCAGGTATCTCTACCACCCCCACCACTGTGGGGAAACGTTTGTCATAGCAGCATCCTGATCCCGGTGGTGACTGTCCTCTCTCCTTGCTCCTAGTATTTCTGCCTGTTGCTCATCATCTTCCTGGTTGAGCTGGTGGCGGGAGTCCTGGCCCATGTGTATTACCAGAGGGTGAGTGACGTTTCCTCCTCCTGCATCCTCTGTCAGTGCCCCTGAAGAAGCAATGTGGGTAGGGAGGTTTGCATTGTGATGAGGAAAGCTGAGGCGGGCGCAGGGGTGGTCCTGTTTCCCAGGCCCTGGCAATCCCCCTACACATCTGCATCCCAGCTGCTGGTCCCGGCTCCAGCAATTCTGTCCTGCATGTGTGGATGCTGATGTCTTCCATGTGGGAACTGGGGACGGGGGTTTCCCGTGGGACATTGGGTCATCCCTCTCCCCTTCCAAGGATGGTCTAGAGGATGAATCCATCTGTCAGAGACATCCAAGAAAAAAGGCCTGGGCCAGGGTCACATGCCAGACCCTGAAGCAGGATCAGGCCTTGCCTGCCTGGATTGAAAAAGGATGGAGTGAGTCCCAGAGTCAGTCCTATCCACTCCCACCCTTGAGCCCGCTGAATCGGGAATTTGAGGTCATGACCAGGGTAATGTTTGGTTGGTAGAGACAGTACGACTCTGCTGGTTGTTTCCAGCCAGTGCTGATATGATGCCCAGAGGGTAACAATTATAAATACTTTCAATATCACCTCATGATCACAGTTAAGATCAACAGACGTTTCAAAGCACCGTGTGTCTGGCCTCACCACCGCCTCCCACCAGCTTCTGGATGTGACCCTTTACCTGAGCTGTCTCCGCAGCCTCTCTCAGCTCTGCCCATCACACCTCTGCCCTAAGTGGGGGCCCAGTTTTGGTATCTTCCTCTCCATAGCTGTCTTCTGCACTGTCTCTGGCTGATGGTCCCTTACACTGCTGAGAAACCTCTGCATCACACCATCCACAGTCCACAGTGTTCTAGAATTAGCTGGGGGGTGGTGGGGGGTTGTGAGTAGGCCTGGGGCCAGGACGGGGATGGGGCTGGTCCTGCTGATGGCACCTTCCCTCTTACCCTCCTCAGCTGAGTGATGAACTGAAGCAGCACTTAAACCAGACTCTGGCTGAGAACTACGGGCAGCCTGGAGCCACGCAGATCACCGCCTCAGTAGACCGGCTCCAGCAGGATGTAAGCCATGCCCCATATGGCCTTGAAGGCTAAGCCCACATGCGTTCAAACCCTAACTGTTCTTTCCTGTCTGGGTGACCCTAGGCAGGTTACTTACCCTCTCTGAGCTTCAGATGTCACATCCTTAAAATGAAGCCTCTTTAGGGCATATGAGCATTAAACATGGTCACATCCGTAGATGTCCCCACTGCCATGAAAAGTACCTGCTGAAGCCCGGTTCCTCTCCTATTCCGACCACCTCCTCCAGGCCCCACCCCTGCTGCCTTCCCGTTCTGGGGCCTCTGTGGCCAGGAAGCCGGCTGTGCCAGGAGAACTCCGTCTCCTGCCAGGATCCAGCCCAGGAAGCTCCTGTCCAGGCTGCTTCTATCCACGGGGCTGCCTTCCTCCTTCCCCGGGGGGCTGGCTACTGCGGCTCCATAAGACTGAGCTGTAACCAGCAGAGAGATTTCAGTTAAGCTGCCACAGGAACCCTCCAGTGTGAGCCATCAGACAGAATGCTGGGGGACAGAAAGGTTTTCTCCTTTCCAGGAAGAGACACAGCAAATCCCTCCAGGGACACCCACCGGCCTGACCAGACATAAACGATGGGCAAATGGACCTCAGAGCTGTCCCGTCCAATATGGCAGCCACCACCCACATGTGGCTATTTCCAGCTCAATTAAATACAACATTCAATTCCTTAGTCATACCAACTGCATTTCTCGTGCTCATTAGCCCATGTGTCTAGTGAGCTCCGATCAGACAGCACAGATGTAGGACGCTGCCTTCATTGCAGAAAGTTCTCCGGGACAGCGCTGCTCTAGGATCCGAATGTGTCCATGTCAGAAAATTCAAAGCAGTCCCATCTGCCCACTCTGGTCCCCTTTCTCTCTGCCACCCCACTCCCCATCCCCACCCCCTGGACCTGAGGCCTTGCTCTTGGCCCCAGGGAACATCAGGCAAGTAGAGGAAGTAGATGTGGGGAGCTCTGAGCCCCAGGGCCGTCAGGGATCAACTGGAAGGCCCCTCCCCATCTCCCCAAGACTCAGGACCAGCTCCCACTGGGTGCTGCAGAGAGGAGTCTCTTCTCTGAAGTAGTGGCCTGGGACATGCATGTACACACAAGTACACACCCACAGGTGCACTCGCACCCCACGGGCTTAGCTCAGGACCAGGAGGAGGCAGCACACACTGCTGGCCAGCCCTGTGCAAAACTAAGTGTGCACTCCACTCACTGGGCCTCACCTGTGAGGAACTGTGCTAGACAAAGAGGAATAGGACAGGATCCCTGCCCTCGGGGAAGCTGGACACACAGCGGGCAATGTGCAGGCAGTGCAAGGCTGGGCCACCTTCAGAAGAGGCAGGAGCCTCAGAAGAGAGAGCAGCCAAGGTAGGGAGGACTTCATGGGGCAGAGGCAGGGTTTGCTTAAGTGAAGAGGGTGGAAGCGGCAGGTCAGGGCCAGGGGCAGATAAGGAAAGGCACAGCTGAGAGCGAAGGCTGTGTCGCTGACGAAGACTTGCAGGGTGTCTATGCGTGCGGACACGGCCCTCACACAAGCCGGGAACGCTTAGAACCCCAGACCACATCTCAGGCAGGAGACTGAGCCCAAGAAAGCAGTGGCTGCAGAGCCAGGGCCAGCACCCAGGCCAGCATCCACCACCACGTGGATGTAAATGAGAGAGACACACGAAGCTGTATTCACACAAGCGTGATGGTGGAAGCAGGTGTCTCTCCTTCACCACTGACTCAGCACCGGGCTCTCTTCTAGGTGCTTTATGTGAATCACCTCTGTCAGTCCTCACAACAGCATGGCATGGAGGTACTTTTGTTGTCCGCATTTTACAAATGACAGCCATCAGGCGGCACCAGCACAGACAGGCAGTCACGCGGAATGTGCAGTTCCCACGTGACTCCTGCACGCTGTGCCAGTCCCTGCTCTGTGTGCTGTCATGCTCTCCTCAGCTCCTGGGGCCCCTGTTCATCCCTGTGGATTGTTCCTGGCCCTGGACAGAGCCTCTGTGCCTCACACAAGCTTCTATCATCTCCTACTATGCGACAGTGGATGCTAAGCTACCCAAGGGTAGGCCCCATGCCTTACTCAGGTTGCTTCACTCCAGGCACATAGTAGCTGCCTAGCAAACTCTTGGTAGCTGGACTAAACATACCTCCACCCCCCATCTCCAGACACACACCAGCAGCAGCCTCACAGCAGCCCTGCTCTCTGTCCCGTGTGGGAACTTTGAATCTCAGTGCCGTAACTGGGAAAGGCGAGAAGCAACCAATGTCCGCTGTCTTGGAATCATTTTATATCTGGGTGGGCGCTTTCCTGCCCTGGGGTGGTGCAGATGACCCCAGGTCTTAGCACTCATGACAGCCCCTCTGGTTGACACTGGTCTCCCAGTGCCATGGGCAGATCTGGGGCTCTGAGACTTCAAAGCCTGAATGGGGGCCTGGGAGCCTCTGGCCAGGCTAGATCCCTGTCCCCACACCCTGACCCCTGGGTGACCAGGAAACTCCCCTGCCTTGTGGTTTTGTCCCCACCCTGGGCTCTGCCACCTAGTAGTGGTCCACAGCCTCACTCTCTGGGGACCCACCTCGCAGACCCGGCCTGCCCCCAAGACACCTAGCATAGCCTCCTTGAAGGACTTGGGTGGCTAAAAAGCTGGAAAGCAGGTGTCCTGCAGGCAGTTCAGCACTGAGTCTGAGAAGGGCCCTGGAGTGACCAGCTCCCTTCTCAAAGCATGGGAAGGGAAAACACATTATACACATACTAACTAACCATGGTTCAGATAGACAAGTAGGGGTTGGGTTAGTATTTGAATAATGTGTCCTGCAGCCTGGAATCCTACGCAGGCCTCTCACCTCCAGCCTCTGCCTCTGCCTCCAGTTCAAGTGCTGTGGAAGCAACAGCTCAGCTGACTGGCAGCACAGCACGTACATCCTGTCGCGGGAGGCCGAGGGCCGCCGGGTGCCCGACAGCTGCTGCAAGACAGTGGTGACGCGCTGCGGCCAGCGGGCCCACCCCTCCAACATCTACAAGGTGGAGGTGAGCACCCAAGCTCAAGCTGGGGGTGAGGAGAGGGCCCCGGCCTGGCCGTTCAGGAGCCCCAGAAAGGCTGGATCAGGCAAGTGGGTGTGGGAAAGCAGGACACATGTGCTCCTTGGCCACGAGCCCACAGTGCCTGGGGCTTTCCAGAGTCTCTACAAAGCCCTGGGACAAGCAGCTCATACCGGAGAGTCTAGGACACCACGGCATGCCCCTGGGTCCACTCAAGTAGGCTGTGGGCAGTTCAAGGCTAGGTCCAGCCTGTGAGTCCTCTGGCTTGTCCTCAGCCTCTGCGGCAGTGACAGCCCGCCCTCCCTCCCCACCCGCACCTGCTCCTGGGCCATGGCCGAGTCACCTGCCCTTCTCTTACAGGGAGGCTGCCTCACCAAGCTGGAGCAGTTCCTGGCCGACCACCTGCTGCTCATGGGGGCTGTGGGCATCGGGGTGGCCTGCCTGCAGGTGAGTTGCAGTGCAGGGACGGGTGGGGGTGGAAGGGCTCTGAACCCCTCTCGCATTGACACAGGTCTTCAGTAACCACCTGGGCTGAAATAACTGACCCTTTGCACACCCGCACCCTACCCTGCTCTCTTCTTCTCTCCCCCTCCCTCTGCAACCAAGGCTGAATCCCACGGTCAGTATCTCCCCCAGAGAACATGAAGGAAAATAGCTGGGGGACAACATGAACTTGTCGGGAACAGGGACCTGGGAGGAGTGTGAGTGTGGGCTCAGGTATGTGCATGCACCCCATGTGTGTGCACGGAGGGGCGAGTGTGCAAGCCATCTGTGGTACATGTGTCTGCATGCTTCTGGGTCCATGTGGTTGGGGTTGTATGCATGTATATGTGTTTAGGGGTGCTTGTGCATGTGTGTGTGAGTGTGCATGTATCTGCATTCATTCCTTTGTGTGTGCATGTGTGTTTGTGTGTGTACAGTCAGTCCTCCATGTCCATGGGTTCAGCATCCATGAATTCAACCAATTGTAGATCAAAAATATTCCAAAAAATGGATGATTGCATCTGTACTGAACAAACCTTGGCACCATTGCCTGAATAATGCAATATACCGACTATTTACATAGCATTTACACTGTATGAGGTAGTATAAGTAGTCTAGGGATGAGGTTCAGGTATTATATAGGGGAGAATGTGCATAGGTTATATGCAAATATTGCACCATTTTATATCAGGAATTGAGCATCCATGGATTTTGGTGTCCAGGTTGGTGACCGTGTGTGTGTGTGTGCGCCCTCATCCAGCTGTCTCTCTTAGGATGAGCAATGTCCTTGGCTCCCATTTCTCCCTGTACCCTCTCCCCTAGCTGCTACCCAGGAAGTCAGGGTGACTCTCTCAGGTTGCTCTAGTCAGAGGTCCGAAGGGGGTGAGCCAAGAAGGCCTCCTCAGCAGCAAGGGCCCCTGCAGTCCCCACCTCATGTACATGGCTGCTTCAGCTCAGCAGGGCTGAGTGTGGGCTGTCCTTCTAGGAGTCCTGCTGTCCTGCGAAGCCCTTCCCACTCCAGGGTTAAGCACCGTCTAGAGAAGGGGAGGAGCAGAGGGTTTGGTCTCAGAAGGCCTGGGTCCAGTCCTGGCTTTGCTCCTAGATAACCTTGAGCTATTTAACTTCCCTGTCCATTGACTTCTTCATCTGCAAAATGTGGACCATTTCCCCAGCTCTTGAATGAGGCGATGCCTGTGACCCACTTACGAAGTACCTGGCACATAGGAAGGCCTCCAGAAGTGGAAACTGTCTTTCTCCAGTTTTCTGTAGACTTCAGAGGATTTCTGATACTTCCTCTCGTTGGGCCCACACAACAGCCTGAGACTCAGGCCAGAAAAGGGGTGGTGTTCTTCGCTTTTTTTTTTTTTTTTTTTTTTTTTTTTTGCGACAGAGCCTCACTCTGTCACCCAGGCTGGAGTGCAGTGGTGCAATCTCAGCTCATTGCAACCTCCACCTCCCAGGTTCATGCGATTCTCCTGCCTCAGCCTCCCAAGTAGCTGGGATTACAGGCGCACGCCACCATGCCGGCTAGTTTTGTATTTTTAGCAGAGGCTGAGGTTTCATCATGTTGGCCAGGCTGGTCTCCAACTCTTGACCTCAGGTGATCTGCCCACCTCGGTCTCCCAAAGTGCTGGGATTACAGGCATGAGCCATGGCACCCAGCTGCTCTCCACATTTTACAGATCAGAAAGTTGAGACCCAGAGAGGGGAGTTACCCAGGGCCTCACACCCTGAACCAGCACCCAGGTCTCCTGGCTTTGGTTCTTTGCTTTCCCGAACTCCCTACCATGACACAGAGGTCTGTGGGAAAGAGAGCAGGGGACAGTGCCCTTGACTGGCTTGGAGAGACTTCCAGTGCAGGGTCCTTGGAGACCATGGTGCCACCTACCCACATCATCTGTGGGCCTGGAGGGCCTAGCTGCAGCCTAACACACTGGGAGGAGGGTCCGTCGCCTCTGGAGGGACACCCATCTTGGTTCTGCCACCTACAACTGTGTGACCTAGGGCCAGTTCTTTCATCTCTGAGCCTCAGTTACTCATTTGTAAAATGGGGCTAGTTATACCTTATCTGCTGCCTGGTGGTGGGAATTAGCGATATCCATGTAAGTCACTCAGCTCATGGCTGAGCAGATAGCAGGTGTTCAATAAATGATAGCCATCATTTCTGTGATTCCTGCAAAAGCACATCATCTCTCAAAAAAAAGCTCTTGTTCCTTGACCAGACCAGCCTGCTCCTCGTCATCCTCACTCAGCTGCAGGGCCAGGGAGCCCAGGTAGCGTGAGCATTGCCCCTCTATTGCACTTCCCCAGGGCAGGCCTCCTGTCCCCTGTGCTGAACCCCAGGGAAGTCGTCAGTGGGAACAGGGGAAGGGATGCTCAGCAGCACAGAGCAGCTGAACTTTCCAGAAACCTGTGAACTCCAGGTGCTGAGGGGTCCTGCTCTGTATGGACACTGACCAGGCCTGGGCCACTCTGTCTATTTCTTCCTCACCTCTCTGGCCTCAAGAACCTGTAGAAGCTGCAGACGAGGTCAGTGAGGCCGAGGGCAGGGAGTGAGGCTGTGGATGCCCAGAGCCGGCCGTCAAGGTAGACCATACTGGTGGAGGTCTGATGTTGAAAAGGTCAGGTTGTTGAGCAGTGGACCTGCAGGCCTGCCACGCCTCCTGCCCACTCACAACCCCCACTGCGCAGCCTGTGTTCCTTCGCCGTTGCTGTGGAAATGGCTTTTGGTGGCTCTCAACCTCTTGCCCAGTTTTCTCCCCTGTGGCCCACTGAGCCAGCCCTGCAGCAGCCAAGCCTCGGGTTAGAGCTCCCTCTGCCAGCCGACGCTGGGCACTAGACTGCTCAAGTCCCAGGTGGGTCATAAGCCTTGAGAAAGGGCTCATACCAGTCTCTTCCCCAGGGTCATAGTTTCCCTCCCAGTGAGCAGACACCAGGCATTTATCTCCCCTACATGCCCAGCCTGGCACTTCCAAGACCCCCAAGGCTCGGGAAATATCAGCCCAACATGGTGTCATAATGTTCCCCAGCCCCCAGCTACTGCAAGAAATCTTGCTTGGGAGTTACAAGGCCTGATTTCTAAACATAGCCCCACCTCTTGCTGTGTGACCTCAGGGAAATCGCATTCCCTCTCTGAACCCTTAGTGTCCTTACCTGTAAAATGGACAGATTGGATATTTGTGAGCCTTTTTAAAGCAGCAGCATCCTCTTTTCAATGGAAATCTTATGTAGGAGCCCAGTACATAAACCATGGGAGGTGGAGCTGTTCCAGGCAGACACAAGCCTAGCATCATGACCTCCCCTCACAGCCCTTGGTGGCCCTGAGCTACGCAAGGGTTTCCAATACAGCTTGCAAGCTGTGGGTCTAGCCTATTTTGTGGGACCTTCTGGATCTAGCGTTCTATGATTTTTCAGTGAAGTTCTCATCTTAGGAACCAGTGACCTTGAGACTGATGTCCTGCAATACCTGGAGTGTTAAAGCAGATGGTTTGTGAACACTAAAAACTAAACAGAATATTTAACGCAGGGAGCACACCTTGATTTCAGCGAGGTATTTGGCAGTGCATCACTTGTTGCCTTGTGGACATGTGGACCAGGCACTTGTCTGCTCAGGAGAAATCAGGGCAGGCTGACTGACCACACTGTGAGAGGGAGATGAGCGAGTTCACGTCAGCTTGGCAAAAAGTCTCCAGGAGTGGGCTGTGGCCCTTCAGCCTCAGACCTGTCTCTTCATTTTTCTTGGTGACCTCAACAAAGACCCAGGAAGCATGCTAAACTATTTACCTAGCGTTTCTGGTCTGTTGTATGATAAAGCTAGTATTGAAAAAAGAGCTTGTTGGATGTGAAGATGTGCTGAAATGAAAGTTGAAACACTTAACAGAGTTAAAGTCCTTGCACTTGAGCTTTGTTTTGTTTTGCATTTAAGCCTGTAACAGAGAGAGGGCATCTGCCTGAGTTACATGATAGGGTGCTGCCCCCAAAGATGTGGCCTGGAACGGCACTGGTAGAAATCGTGGAGAGAGCCAGGGTGTGGGCAATGCCAGCTCAGGCCACCCTCCGGGTAGGAGCAGACCTCCACAGAGCCCCCACGGCAGGGACCTCAACCTCGGCTGCACATTGGGATCACCTGACAAGCTTTAAAACTATCCCAGGCCTGTCATCCCAGCACTTTGGGAGGCTGAGGCGGGCGGATCACAAAGTCAAGAGATCAAGACCATCCTGGCCAACATGGTGAAACCCCATCTCTAGTAAAAATGCAAAAATTAGCCGGGCGTGGAGGCATGCACCTGTAATCCCAGCTAATCAGGAGACTGAGGCAGGAGAAATGCTTGAACCCAGGAGGCGGAGGTTGCGGTGAGCCGAGATCGCGCCACTACACTCTAGGGTGACAGACTCCATCTCAAACAAAACAAAACAAAAACAAAGCTACCCCAGGCCTGGGCTACCCACAGCAAAGTGAAACAAAATGCTCTGGGGCTGGCACCTGGGCATCAGTGTATTCGTGAAGCTCTCTAGTGATGCCACTGTGTGGCCAGATGCAGAGGGAGTGGCAAGGGGTGTGTGGGGCCCGGAAGTCAGGTGTGTGAGAGGTCAGGAGATGGGGAGCAGACGCAGCACCCTCGTGGTCTTGAAATGCCCAAGGCAGTCATGTGGGGAATGGAGGGACTGTTCCTGGGAGGTTCCAGAGGGCAGAAGGGGAACAGTAGGTGGAATTAGTTTCAAGGAGACACATTCAAGAACTTTTTAACAATTTGAATTGCTAAACAGTGGCCCTTGCAGAGTACTAAACTCCCTGTGGCTGCAGGTTGGGGCAGAGGCTGGGGGCAGGGATGCTGAAGGGAGGATTCCCTGCAGAGAGGAGGGGCAGAGGCCCCTCCACGCTGAGGTTCTGCATTCTGGGAGTGCACCTATCCCCTCAGCAGAGACCTCCCAGGCTTCTCACCCACGTCAGTCATGGAGCGGCACACCAGAGGCAGTTTCAGACCTGGACAGGATCATCACAGCGCTGAGGTACTCCCTGATCAGACTCTTCCGCCTGGAAAGGCCTTACAGACTCCCTGGACCAGTGCCACCGGTCCTGGTTGCATGCTAGAATCGGGTTTTTAAATACCATTGCGGCCAGGCGCAGTGGCTCACGCCTGTAATCCCAGCACTTTGGGAGGCCGAGACGGGCGGATCACGAGGTCAGGAGATCGAGACCATCCTGGCTAACACGGTGAAACCCTGTCTCTACTAAAAATACAAAAAATTAGCTGGGCATGGTGGTATGCACCTGTAATCGCACCTACTAGGGAGGCTGAGGCAGGAGAATCCCTTGAACCAGGGAGACGGAAGTTGCAGTGAGCCAAGATTGTGCCACTACACTCCAGCCTGGGCGACAGAGCAAAACTCGGTCTAAAACAAAACAAAACAAACAAAACACATTGCTCTGGCCCCCTCTCCACAGACTGGCTTGGATTGTCTGGGCTGGGGTCTGTGCACAGGTATTTTTAAGCCTCCCAGCTGGGTCAAACGTGCATTTAGGGTTCAGAGTCCCTGGGCTCATCTCATTCATGCACATGTGAAGACATGAAGCCTCACCAGAAAGTCACCTGCTGAAGGTGACAGCCGCTGTGGCAGAGCTGGCCAGGTCTCCAGCTCACGGGCCTGCTTCCTCTGCTTCCTCTGCTTCCTCTGCACCAGCTTCCCCTCTTGTGGGTAGACTCTGGAGGCACTCCACTTTGAGGTAATTTTAGAAGCTAATTTCTAGAATATTCTGGCTGGGGAACATTTCACTGAAAATGTCAGAGTAGCCCAGGCCTTTTCCTGCAGCCCTCCTCACATCAGCGTCCTAGGAGCCTCCGCCCAGGCAGCCGGCAGAGGAGGCTGTGTTTACTTTGGAACAGAGCTTCTGTGTGCCAGGAGCTGTGCCCAGTGCCCGGGCCCCATTGCAGGCAGGCTACCGTCCCTTCTTCCAGGGAGATTTTACTTGAAGGAAGGGGACAGATAAGTGTGTGGCAGTCACAGTGCAGTGCTAAGTGCTGTGTTAGTAGGAGCCCTGGGGTTTAGGAAGCAAACATCAGTGGCCCTAACCAGTCACGGGAGGTCAGGGAAGGCTTCCTGGAGGAAGTGATATCTCGTTAAGTCCTGAAGAAGCCCGATAGAGGGGAAAGAGCCAGGGTGAGGGAATGGCATGTGCAAAGCCCTGGCTTGCAGGTGGGGAGCAGGGGTCTTTACCCTGCCTGGCCTCTCAAAGGATTGGGGTGTTGGAAGGACTGGGTGTTGTGCTGTTGGTTTCTGTTATTCTAGTTTTTAAAGAATCTCACCAAGGAAGACCCTAAACCAGTGTACAGACTGGATATTTTCCTATTGGCAGAGGGGGATTTGAGGCTCAGAGAGGGAGGTAACTGTACCCAACATGACACAGGCCACTGGTGTAGCCTCCAGTAGAACCTAGCCCACCTCCAACATGCTCACCTTGCAAATGTAAACATGTCTCAGAGCATAGAAAACTCACAAGACAGTCGAGACTGGGATCTGCAGATCATTAAAAGGGAAACCGAACGATCATTTTGGAATGACTTCCTGGACGCTCCCTGGCCCTTCCTTCATGCCCTCTGCTGACAGCCAGGTGCTGACTCAGAAGCCTCAGAGGAAGCTGAAGGCAGGACGGCCTCCCTGTTAAAAATGTCGCATGTGTGGCCAAGTGTCACACACAGGCAGCTGCCGGAAGACAGCACCAGGCACCGTGTGGCTGGGCCTCCAAGCTGAGCCCGACCCCATCTGCCACCTGCAGCGCCTGCGGTTAGCTGGCCTCGTGTTGTCTCTGCGTGCCCCCTGCTGGCTGCAGGAGCCATCCGTGATGGTGTCTCAGTGTCCTCTGTCAGGAGGGAGATGGCAATGCTTATTCAGGAACCAGACTGAGTGGCATCCTGTACCCCTCCACATGCTTTGGCGTGGTGTGCACATGTGTGTGTGTGCATGTGGACGCAGTGATGAGAATCTGGCCCACACACCTCTGCCCCTTACTGTGCCTGTCCTGGGAGGCTCCCTGGGAACACCCAGCTCACACAGGACCCTGTGTCTCCGGGAGCACGGCCCCTCCAGCCCTCCCCCAGCAGGAGACGTACACCGCAGGCAATGCAGATATGGTTTCCAGCACAAACCCGTGCCAGCCAAACAGCTCCCTTCTGGCCTCCCTCTTAGCACAGATAAGAAAGATCCAGAAAACCCCACAGGAGAATCATCAAACCATGAGGTAGGGACACCTGCACGGGTGGAACGGCATGACAGCTGCCTGCGTAAAGCTAGCGGGAGATGAGATAACCTCCTAAGCCGCCTTTCAGCCTGAGGCCCCAGGTGGATTAACACCAAGTCTGCAGGCTGAAAGCAGTGTTCAGGCTCCACAGTGTCCTCCAGGTTGGGACGGATGGAGAGGAGGAAGGAGGGGAAGGAGATGGACCCCTCCCATACTACCTCCCCCAGCTAGACTGTCAGAGACTGGGTACGGGACACACACATCTCCACCAGCCTGCTCTCCTCCCGCTGGATAGAGCTCCACCTGCGTCCAGGTTTGCACCAGCAAGGTCAGGGCAGCAGCAGCTGCTAGCAAAGTCAGGACACTGTTTCAATACTTAGGGGAGCCACCTTCACCCCAGGTACCATGGGACAGTCATGGGGCTGCTGTAGTCCAGCGCCCCCTCCTGTGTGCAGACAGCCAAGATCCAACAACATGCCATCGTCATTATCAGGATCATAATCACATTACCCTCAATGCGTCCTTGGGTGGGAGGGAGGAGAGGAAGAGGAGGAAGAAGGCAGAGGGGGGCCATGAAGAGCAAGGAGGGAGAATAAAAGCTCCTCTGCATTCTGGAAGTGGGAGAAGTGAGAAGGGGTGTGCAGGGTGATCCTCCCAGGCCTGTGTCTGCTTTGGACCAGATGATCCAGCCCCTTCTTGTTTAGCCTGTGGATACCGACAGAAGGGCTGGCAGACAGGACTCCCGGGGCCTGGGCTTGGTGCTGCGTTCTACACTGATTGACAGGGTGAGCTCACCAGCTCTTATCATTTTATGCTGACTGACAGGGTGACAGCTCAGCGGGCTCCTCTCAGAGTCTCAGTTTCCCCCATGGTTCCTGTACACCAGCCAGAGCATCGAAGATGGACCTGAGTTTTGCTCTGGAGTCCAAGGACAGCAAAACGCAGGCAGACTCTTTCCTAGAGAGACAGTCCACTTCAGACAGCTCTGGTGAGGGAATGGAAATGTTACTCTCAGGGCCTAATTAAATCAGGCCGTCTCTGGAGATCTAGGACCACAGACCAGCAGCATCAACTGGGAGCTTGCTAGGAATGCAGACCCTCAGGCTGCCACCAGGCCTGCAGAATTGTAATAAGGAGGTCCCCAAATGATTCATGCCCATTAAAGTGTGCAAAGCCCTGCTCTTGGATAGTAGATGGCAGAATGTGGTTCCCCCATGCACACCGCCATCACCTGGGAGCTTGTCAGAAATGCAGAATCTCAGGCCCCACCCTGACCTTTTGAGCAGGAATCTGCCCTTTGTCCAGGCCCCAGGGGATTCAAGTGAGCAGCACTGCTCCAGGGCCCTCGGGGTCAGCAGCTTCCATGAGTTCTGATTTCTCTTTGCTCCTCTGCTCTCTCCACCTGGCAGATCTGCGGGATGGTTCTCACCTGCTGCTTGCACCGGAGGCTCCAGCGGCATTTTTACTAATGGCCAACCACCTCCTCTTCCAACTGCCCCTCAGGACGACAGGTGGCCACATGCCATCTGCAAGGCCTGCAGAGTTAGCACCAGCTCCACTAGGGCCATAGATACCCCCTCTTTTGTGCCCAGCTCCTGCAAATCCACCAAGTGCCTGAGACCATAGCTTCTATTGTGCCCACCCAGGCAGGGACCCTCGGCCCCCTCTCCTCCATTTTCAGCCCCCATGGCCAGATCCTGGGCAGGGAAATGATCCTTTCAGGAGACAACCAGAGCCCCTCACCAGGCACAGGGGCACCCGTGGACTACGAGATGGTGGCAGTTGAGTTCTCTGCTCCCTCCCAACCCCTGAACCTGGAACAATGGGCAGAAAACCCAGGAACCCCGGCACTCCTGCATTCAGCAGGGGCTTCCCCCACCCATGCTCAGAAGCCCTGACCTTGTTGTTTCTGAAAAATGCATGGGTGGGGCAGGGAGGGCTGACTACCCCCCCCCACACCCCCTTCCGGAAGACCTTGCCCTTTGACCTGCCCGCTCTCCACACTGCCTCACCTGGAAAGCCATGTCCTGCTGGCCTCCTTCCTGCAGGGCCTGGGAGTGGGGAGGCCTGGGTAGGGCAGCCACAGGCTGGGTAGAGCCGCCCTGGCAGGAAGCAGGGGGTAAGGTGGCCACACCAGCACATGCTGCACTAGGAGCAGAGCCCTGCACCTGCCTAGCAGCCTTCCCGGGAGAAACCCCCTGGGAGACCATGGCCCCAAGCCCTGGCCTCTAGTGATATGCCCCCCAGGGATCTCCTGTTCCGGGGCCTGATTCTCAGGAACACCAGGTTTGCAGACCATCTTCAGTTCCTAATGTTGGTGGGTGTCAAACATCTGGAGTGGACCAACTCGCAGCCCTGCAAAGTTGGAGCCGCTGAGAAGCAGCAGCTCTGAATAGAGGGGCATCTGCCTGAACCTCACTTTTCCTGGGGCCCTCTCCTTGACCCCGTGGCCACCGCACTGCTTCCAGGGGGTCCCGCTCTGCTTCCCTTCCCACCCATCCTAGAGTGGACAGAGTTTTTCCCCCAGGTTCTCTCTTGCATCACTAAATTCAGCAGGGAATTTTCAGGAAGAACTTTCCCCAGTAATAAGGGAGAACGGAAAGAAAATCCTAGAAAATACAGAGTATCCATGCTGGCAGCTTTTTGTACAACACCCATAGGGACCCCCCAAATGGCTATTACAAGGGGGCAGCCCATTCACTACACAAGAACACCATACCTGGCTTCCACCCTCCCCAGGTCCTACATTTCTCCCCAGAGCGGGACCCTCTTCCCCTCTACGAAGGGGGGTACCTTGTGCTAAGGCCAAGACAGAGAGAGGTCCCAGCTCGCCTCCCTGCTTGATCCAAATTGCACTGTGGTGAGCACATTGCTGACCTAGGCCAGTCCTGGGGCAGGGGTGCTCTCTCTCCCATACATAGGAGTGGCCTCAAGGCCACGCAGTGCTGACCCCAACAGAGCCCTGAACTGTCCAGAAGCTGCATCCTCAGCACAGGAAGTACCCACATGGACAGAGGGAAACCCAGCCTCGGGGCCGGTTGCCTCCTCTTCTCTGGGTGTTGTCCAGTGGCTTCTTGGAGCCTAGGCTGGTTTATCTCCCCTGCCTAAAAGGCCCTGGAGTTACCAATGCAAATTCATTAAAAGGAAGACCAGATATCCCAGACTGCACAGGGCAGAGAGAAATGGTGTAGTGCATGATTCGCGCTGCTCTCCAACCTCCTGGAATTCGTGCAGATAATCGAAAACTGGCTGTGACTCCCAGGCTCCCTGAAGGATGAGATCACAACTGACAAATCTTACTACAGAGGGAGAGTGGAGAGAGAGGGGGGGTACTGGGCTAGAGCCATGTTCTTCCTGCCGGGGTGCCAAGGGGAGGCGGCAGTGGGCACGGGGTGCTGGGGCCTTACCTGTCTGCCCTAGTGGGGATGAAAGACAGGTGGCAGGCAGGTGCCCTGTGCGCAGCCTTGTCACTGAAGGCAGGCCCAGGAGAGTGTGCCCCATCTGCCCCAGCCCCATGGGATAGTTGGTCCAGCCTTACTGGGGCAGGATTAGCTGTGATTCCTGCCCTGTGTGTCGTCCAGCCAGACTGCCTCTTAGAGAATGGCTTGTCCAAGCTGCAGACAGTGGTAGAACAACCCAGGGCCTGGAAATCTGACCTCCTTGGCCATGCCAACAGCCTGGGAGATCAGACAGGGTTAGAGGAAATGGAGGCCCAGGATAGGGCAGGTTCTGCCTGGGAGTGTACAGTGGCTGGAGTCCAGAGCCAACCATGTGGTCCCCAGTGGGGTGTGCCCTTCCTGCTGACCAGGGTACAGCTCCATGTCCAGTTCAGTTCCTCCCGGGCCCGTGTTTGGAAGCTGGTACAGCCTTGAGTTCCTTGGAGAGAGAGGACGTGCCTGTGGAATGTCACCATCAGTCCTGTGTGGGCAAAAGGCCTCTGTACGCCAGGGCACCAGGAAAGCAGCATCAGGAGCTGGGATCCCACCCAGCTGGCCTGGGCACATCCTTGCCCTGCACACACCATGCTGCCCTTCCCTAAGCTTGCAGGGGCAGACACTAAGGGAGAAGGGCGCGTCCCCGAGTCCCCCGGGTGACCTGTGTCAGGACAGCCAGCAAAAATGAAACATGGCCTTGGCTGAGGGGGTGGAATGTTTGTGTCCATTCTCTTTCTCCCTCCTGCTTCCCTAACCCTAGCCCCATGTCCAGGGCCCCTCAGGCAGAGTAAGTGAGGAGTGTGTCCAGGCATGTTTTTGTGTTTACCAAGGTCCTGCCGTGCACTTAGAATCTGTCACCATAAATACTTATCTTGCAGTTACCCCAGTAAGAGGGCGTTACTTCCCCCATTTTATAAATGAGGAAGTTAAGGCTGGGCAAAGTTAAGACTTGTCTGTCAGTGGTCATGGCAGTTGTCTTGCCACCCCCAGCCAGGGAAAAGGAAGGAAAGCTGGGCCGGGAACCCCTCTCCTCAGTGTCCCCCAGTTCTCCATCTCCATAATGAGCCATCGGGCTGTCAGTAAGGAACAGAGTGTCACTCGGGGGGCACTGTCACAAAGCAGCACCCGTGGCACATGTGCCGGAGATGCGGAAGCCTGGCTCGTTTCAGGCTGACAGCTGGGCCCTCCGGGTACAGGGGCTCAGGCAGCAGCCAGGAGCCCAAAGCGCCAAGGCTCATGACGACCACCCAGCCCATCACCCCAAGTAGCAACACTAACCCCAAAGCAATAGCAGGGACTGTCCCTCAGCCCTCAGGGCCTTCATGCAGAGTGCGGAATCTCATGTCCACATGGAGGTCACACCCACTTCCGGAGCCACCCTGGGCAGGCAGGGAGGGGCACTCTGGGGATGCGTTGACCACCTCCCCTTCAGGTGAGGCCCTTTTCTGCCTTCTTTCTAGCCCCCGCGTGGAGTACCTGCTGTTGCTGGGGCTCTGGGGTGGACCCTGTGTGATTTCTCTCAGCGAGCCTGTGCAGTGCACGGCCAGAGGTGTTTACATCCAGAAGGGCCCAGCACGGCCCTGTGGGGTATGGGGGGAACATGGTAGATCACTGTGATGTGCCTCGGGGCCCTCCTGCCCTGGAGCCAGCTGTGGTTTCAGAATCTGCTACTTGGGCCCTCTTCAGGGTTTTGAGGCTGGAGAAGTGAGTTGGAACAGTCGCTGTCATCACCGCCCACCCTGTCACCCACCTGGAAAACATGCTGAGGTACTGGCCACTCTGGGGCTGAGGAGGGAATGCCAGTCTTTTGCATGGCTGCTGGGCCAGGCTCACATCCACTGAGGGTATGGTGACCAAGCGTCTAAACCAGTCGTTCTCAAACTTCAGTGAGTATCAGAATCACCTGGAAGGGCTTTTCCAAACAGATTGCTGGCCCCACCCCGAGAATTTCTCATCAGGAGGGGGCAAGACCAATCCTTTGCATTTCTGACAAGTTCCCAGGAGCTGCAGCTGCTGGCCCTGGAACCACACTTTGAGAACGACTGCTTTAGACCAAACCCTAAAGGAAGATGCAGCCACCCTCCTTTATATGTCACAACGCTCAGGGTTCACGAGTACCTCAGGCTGTCCAGCTGAGCGCCACCTGCAGCAGCCGAGATTCCCGACTCGCTCCACCACTGGGGGCTGGGAGTGAAGCATGTCACCATGGTCAGCTCATGGCCAGCCAGGAAAGCGTTTCTGCTGTGCGTCTGTGCAGTGCTTGCTCTTCCCTGGAGGACTCTTGGATGGCCTGTAATCTTGGCCAGGATACCAGGTGCCTGGGTCCCTTCCTGGAAGGGGACAAGTTACACACCCCAGCCCCATTTTCCCACCAACTTCTACATGCCTTGGGAGAACCTGCTACATTCTGGCTGCTCCCTTCCCCTATTTCAACAGTGCCCAGCCCTGCTTATAAACCTGAGGCTTGCTCCCCATGCCCTGCCCTGTGCAAGTGCCAGCCATTATTCCAGACAGCCCAATGTTGGTGAAGCCGGATGGACTCCTGGAACCAGCTGGCTCATGGATGTGGGTCATCGCAGTATTCTAGAAACGGATGTCTTAACCTAGTGTGTATAGAGAAATTGTTCTCGTTGTAAACATACCCCTGTTCTTACCTGAACTCGGTGGAAGCCCAGCTTCGTGTGCTACGGGGCATGATAATGATAATAAAGGAATTGTATCTAGGACTACCTTCTGTTGGTTGTTTTTCTCCTCTGCAAGGAAGCCCCAGGCCATCAGTTCATCAGATGTACTGTGACCCACTGCTACATCGTGAAGCTGCCATATTAGCCACGGCTTCCCTATAAGTAAACCATTGGCCACATTGGATACGGTCCTGGTTACCCTTCTTTTGTCAGCCCTCATCACTGCTGTGTTTGAACTGACTTCTCCTGCTCACAAGTGTCATTAGCTCCTGGCTGCAACAGAGAGCCAGGCTCAAACACATGTACTTAAATTTTATTCCTCCTCAGGCTTCCTCCCTTCAGTCAGTCATGTTTTCATACCATTTACCATGACGCACAACCAGCATCTGTTCATGAACCTGCAGTGAGCTCCTTCCACTGCAGGCGGCACCCTCTGCTTGGCTGCAGCAGATGCAGAGTGTGGCAAAAAGTCAGGAGCAAGGGGGCTCGGTCTGGTGAGACACACACACCTACTGCAAGCCGCACCCCCAGACCAACTCACTCCACTGTGACAGGGTTTCTCCACCATTGACCAGCTGATTTGTCCTCATCCCCAAACCTGGAGTTGGACACGTTTTCATTGCAAATGCAGAAAGATGAATCTTTGCTGAGGGGACTAATAGTTACCTAGTCCAGAGCTACAAGAAAGTACGTGTTTTTGTCTTCTATGACATAAAATGGTCATATTATTTCATTCACTATTCTGTCTAGAAAACTTGCTTGAGAGGTGGTATATTCATCTGTATTCACAGTGCTAAAAAGAACTACCTGAGAGTGGGTAATTTATAAAGAGAAGAGGTTTAATTGACTCACAGTTTCACAGGCTTGCCAGGAAGCATGGCTGGGAGGCCTCAGGAAACTTACAATCATGACAGAAGGCAAAGACGAAGGGGAAGCAGGCACCTTCTTCACATGGTGGCAGGAGAGGGAGAGTGAGGGGATAGGTGCCACACTTTTAAACAACCAGATCTCATGAGAACTCACCATCACGAGAACAACAAGGGGGAATCCGCCCCCATGATCCAATCACCTCCCACCAGGCTCCTGCCCCAACATTGAGAATTACAATTTGACATGAGATTTGGGGGACACAGAGCCAAACCATATCAGGCAGTGAGGAACCTGAAGAGTACCCAGGTAGTCTGGGCTCAGGGGTATCCCCAGACAGAGGGATGGGGGTGGTGAGGGAGGCAGCTGAGAACCCAACAGGGCTCTGCCACTTGTGGTGTAAGCACACTGATCCACCCGGGGAGGTCCCCAGGCAGGGACCCACTTTGCAGGGGAGCTCCAGTCGCTCTCCTGTGTCTGCAGGGCCTCTTTGGTCAAGGTCCAGTTGTTCACTGAACGGTCATAGCAGTGGCCGCCTGACTGTTTAGATGTTGAGCAGGGGAACTGAGCCAGCCTAGGGCATGCTCAGGGTCATCTGTCCCACTGGAGTGAGTTGCCTGCTCCCCTCCACCATCACTATGAGTGTGTGCATGTGTATGTGCAAATCATCCAACGCGAATGTACTAAGGAGGGACAGGTGCCCTCCAGGCTCTTTCCTGCTGCAAGTAGGCAGCACTGTTACTGGCTTACAGCTGCTGCCTACACAGCCCCAACAGCCAACAAGAGCCATGTCAGCCAGGCAGGCAGCATGATGCCATTGCTGAAGCTGTGCCTTTGGTGGCTGCTGGCTGGCCTGCCACCCTCTGGCTTCTGTCTCTAGCTGAAACCCTGTCTGGCAGTGACTTGAGCAGAAAGAGGAGGATCCTTCCAGGAACCTGGTGGGAGCCTTTGCATCAGGCCAGAGGACAAGAGGGAAAGAGTGAAACAGGAATCCAGCCCTTTCCATCAGCAAGGTACAAACAACGTCACCGCACTAAGGGCATAACAAAGCCAGCCAGAGGCAAGAACATTAATGTTCCCATGATGGGGACAAGGAGCAACTTCCACTGGGCTTTTAAAACACACCGTAGTTCACGAAGCCCAAATTCTACTTTAGAGAAAACCCTGAGTTAGGGGCCAGAGGTCAAATTCAACATCCTCTCCCCAAGTTCCCTATTGGTAAATAAGAAGGTTGGGTCATTTTAGGAACTGGGGTCTCTCACCAAAGAAAAGAAATATATTGAGAATATACAGATGCTCCTCAACATATGATGGGGCTACATCTTGATAAATACATTGTAAGTTAAAAATATTGTAACTCAGTTAGGTGTGGTGGCTCACATCTGTAATCCCAACACTTTGGGAAGCTGAGGTGGGAGGATTGCTTGAGTCCAGGAGTTCTAACCTGGGCAACATATGGAGACCCCGCCTCTACAAAAAATAAACAAAATTGGCTGGGCATGGTGGCACACACCTGTGGTCCCAGCTGCTATGGAGGCTGAGGTAGGAGGATTGCTTGAGCCCAGGAGTTCAAGACTGCAGTGAGCCATGGTTGCACCACTGTACTCCAGTCTGGATGACAGAGCAAGACCCTGTCAACCAAAAAAAAGGAAAAAGAAAAAGAAAGAAACAAAAAGAGGAAAGAAAGGAAAGAAAAGAAAAGAAAGAAAGGAGAAAAGAAAATATCAAGAAAGAAAAGTAAAAAATGCATGTTAAATACACCTAACCTACCAAACATCTTAGCTTAGCCTGGCCTACCTTAAACGTGCTCAGAACACTTAAATTAGCCTACGTTTCAGCAAAGTCATCTAACGCAAAGCCTGTTTTATAACAAAGTGTTGAATGTCTCATGTAATTTATTAAATACTAGTTTGAAAGTGAAAAGCAGAAATGGTTTTTGTATGGGTATTGAAAGTACGGTTTCTACTGAATGTATGTGGCTTTCACACCATCATAAAGTTGAAAAAAATCACAATTTGAACCATCATTAATAGGGAACCGTCTGTCTGGGGATTCCAGAAATTTGCCCACTGGTGGATTGGCCCTGCTCTGGATGTTGGACATGGGTAAGTTCCAGAATTCGGTAACCAGAAGAAACATTTCTAGGCAACAGGTACTAACCGCAGGCCACTGTGCAGCCTTCCTCTACCAGTTCACCTCTCTCCTCTCACAGGGCCAAGGGACACTAGTGTCCAGGTCTGTCCCCGCTGGTTCTCAGCTATCTGATGGTCTCTGGGGCCACAAAGGGGAAGTCCCGAATAGCAGCATCAGCCAGGAGAGCCTGGCTCAAGTGTGCCCTGTGGAGTGTTGTTACTCTTTCTGTTAGCTTGAGGAGACAATAGGCTGTCTCGTGGCTGTCATTAAACTCAGCAAAAGCAAGATGGCTAAATCAATAGCCTCCCAATTGATGAATGCTTTAAGAAGGGGCCATCCCGATGCCAATATCTTTGAGTCCAAAATGACATTTATTTAATCTGGCTTTCCTCTTGCTTCTGTGGAATATTGAGTGCTGCTGCTGAGCTAACCCAGAGCAAACTGAGGCCTGGGGAAGCTTGTTCCCTGAGCTCCTGCAGGCAGCAGCTCACCCACCTTGATACACCAACTCCCCTTCCCCGACCACCCCCTTCCCACACCACTCTCCTGTATCCCCGGCTTTCGGCCTGGAAGATGCTCTTCCTTGAAGACCTGACTTTAATTTTTTAGGGACTCGTGTCCAACCAATTTCTTGCCAAGCTCCTATCCTGGTCTAGGAACAAGCTGGATGCCTCTAGACACATGCTTTCATTCGATCCCCACAGCAGCTCTGTAAAACAGGCATTATTTGCATTTTGCGGATGACAAAACCAAGACAAGTTCAATGACTGCCCAAGGTTCACATGGACACCAAATGCAGAGTGGGAATTTAACCCAGGGTCTCCAACTCCCAAACCAGTGCCCTTTCCATCCGCGCCACAGTACATGTCTAATGGTGAAAGTTCAAGTGTGGTGATGGCTGATAAGATAGTTTTGGTCTGGAGGAACCTCGATAATGTTTTGCAGGCTATGAAGCTCAATACACACAAAAGAAGAGGTTTAATTACACCATGCTGGTCTCTGCCCTCTCCTGCACAGGAGCACCGAGCCCAGAAAATCCGTTCATCCATCTATTTGTATGAACAATAAGTCATCTTCCCATTTATGCTGGATGAATGGCAAAAATGCTCCCTCTCCCACCATTAAATCTAGTTAACCACAAAGGCTGTACATCTCTCAGATCTGCCGGCTTTGTCTCCACCCCACTGCCCTTCCCTGCAGCTCTATCATCTCTCACCTAAATCACTGCAGTGCCTGTGCCTGATCTCCCTGCAGCCTCCTCTGTCCCTCTGACCACTCTTCACACTGTAGCTTCAGCCAACTTTCTAAAGGCCAGATCTGAGCCCATCACATTTGGGCCTTTCCATGGAAAGCCTTTCCATGGCTCCCATTGCTCTCAGCCTAAACGTCAAGCTCCTTGACCAGGTTTTCAAGGTTGTGATCTGGAAGTGTCTCCAGACTGTCCACCTTCACCCTCTGTGCTTCAACTCTGTGGACCACATCCATCCACAGGACACATCTCCTTCCACTCCTTGCCAGGTTAACTAACACATCCTGTCTTCAGCTCTTAGCATCAACATCACCTCCTCTGGAGGGCCTCCTTCTCCTCAGGCTGGGTCACAGCCTCTCCCACATGGCCAGCCAATAGCCTGTGAATATAACCATCAACACTGACCTGCAATCACGTTCACTCTTCTGGGGTCCCCACTGGACGGTTGGCCCTGCAAGCACAGGGACTGTGTCTGCATCTTCCTTGACTGTTGTCTAGGTGCTTGGCATGAGTTACTTGAGTATTCAGTAAGTCTGAGCCAATAGACATTTGTGTGTGCAGACACCAGTGTTAGCCACATGAAGGGCTGGCAGGGTTCTGCTGCAGCTCATAAGCCGCCCTTTCTCAACTGTGCTTTGCTGAGCACCAATGGGGAGGCAGTTCCCCTACCACATCGCACAACAGTGAGAGGACTCCCAGAGTCATCGCAGCCACTCCCATGGACGCATCCCAGACAGCTCTAGCCCAGTCACCAGACGTCCCCAGGGAAGGAAGATGACCCTCTCATATACAGCCA